TGTTTGACAGCAATCCTGACCCACAGGACAGCAGAGGTGGTCGACGTTCCCGTTCCTCCCGATGTCATTGAGCCACAAGTGTTGATCGTTGAGCCAAACCTACTGCCCGTCACCATTGAGTTCCGATCGCAGTCCAGTCCCGTCAACATAAATCAGGTCCACATTCCCGGCCCTCCCGGCGAATACAAGGAAAGCCGTTCAGAGGAGGAACCCGACAGAGTTCTGCACGAAGTGGTCAAACCCGTGATCCAAGAAGTGCGAGAAATTATCCAACCCTTCCGAAAGATCACGCAAGAGATACTGCCCGTGCAGGAGGAGGTGCACAGTGTGGTGGCCAGGGGTGAGAACCAGAAGATCATCAAAGAGGTAGCCATTCCTCCGCCGGTTCCCATTCACGCCGTAGCGGCCGCAGCACCGGCTGTTGCCATCGCACCGGTAGATCTTGAACACGCACACCTGACCGGCACTGTTGTCAGGGCTGGACTTATTGGAGGCGCCCGTGTGTTGGAGGCACCGGGAGGTCTGGGAGAGGCCCAACTAATCGGTTCGGGATCGTCGTTCTCGTCGAGGAGAACACGTCCCGCAAAACCCATAGCCGTTGTCCAACAGCTCTCAGTCAACAACAGACCCTCCGGTTCCGCATAAGTGGCAAATCACACGAAAACATCTTATAATTGATATCATTATTTGTATCATTAATTAAAAAATAGAGAAATAAATGCTCTTAAGTTATACATGAAGTCAAGTTAATTTTTACATACAAAAATCAAAATTAAGAGAAAAATTAGTATTATTTATGTTTTAAATTTAAATTTATAGTAAAATCTTTTTAATTAAGTATTTGTGGAAAAATTTGTTTTCAAAGTTTTGAAGTGAATGAACAGTAGTGTTGAAGTCGTTTACTAAATCCAAGTCATCCTTATTGATCCTCCAGTTTGAAATTTGTGTCAAAATCTGAGCACTCGTAGGCCTATCCTTACGAAATTGTTTGATCATTGAGGACAAGGTATTAACCAACTGTAGGAACTGTGGGTCTGGTATTGAGATTGTATTTCTCTTGAAAACGTCTTCTGAACTGAATTAATGATAACAATTATTATTTGTAGTTTAGTATTACTATTAAATTGTTTATAAATTACTTACGAATAGAAATCAATGCAAAACATCTCACAGGCTATCAATCCGAAGCTAAAAACATCACATTTCATGTCATATTCATTGCTGAACTTAACCTCCGGTGCCATATATTTCTCAGTGCCGGCGTCTCTCGAGTGAGTCTGTGAGTCGAGTGAATGAAATACAGATAAACCAAAATCAGATATTTTCACAAAATATCCATTTTTATCCTGCTCAACCACTAGAATATTCTCGGGCTTCAAATCCCTGTGAATTATTGGCGGATCCAATGAATGCAAATAAAGTAATCCATTGTTTATCTCAATAAACATTTCGCATAATAAGTAGAATTCGGTGAAACCAATGAGAGTGTCGGATGAATGCCTATTAAATGCATTGTTTCTGATCTGCAGAATATTCTTCAAGTTACTGTCACAGAATTGCATCTGAATGTAAACAAACTGGTTGTCCTCAATCCAGGCCCTCTTATATCGGACAATTGAATTACTCTCGAGTTTTGTCATAGTCTGGAATTCCTGAAAGCCTTGATAACGGACCGATTCCTCTAAAATATTTCAAAATTGTTGAAATAAGTGATAAAAATAGGAAATAAGTTATGAGATAAGCAATCACAAACAATTAAATAAACACTTATAATATTATGAGTTATAAAATGGTACTTACTGTCAACTGGAATTTGTTTAATGGCATAGATTTTATTATCAGTTTTATCCAACACTTTAAAGACATGTCCAAAAGCGCCGGAATTGATTTTCTCTTTCATTTCAAATGAATGTTCAAATCTGCCTTCAAATGCATAAATAGATTTTGTTTTCTTCTCCAATATTTTTTGTTTTATAGCCTTTTTGTTCCACAAATTCATAAAACTTGTAAACACTTGCGATGAATATTTGCTCTTATCTTCAGGCTTAACATACAACTCAATGGTGGAAACAAATCCATCGCTTTCTAAATGAATGGCTTTATATGTAATCTGTTTTCCCTTCAGATATTCAAAGAAGTTGCCGAATTTCGTTTTAAACCATTGATTCTTATAGTATTGATAAATGAAGTTACTCGCCACCAACACTTCCAGAGGATTGGCTTCAAACCCGAAGCAATAGATGTCAATAACCCTGGGCATACTAAAAAAAACCTTGGGCTTTGAAAAGAATTCGTAATTCGTTGTATTGATTGCACCACAAAAGTGTACAAATTGATCGGTCGTCAGGAAATAGGTATTCAATCGATTACTACAGACTTTTACAACATTTTTGAGGCCATTAATAAGTCTGGGGACACAAGAGGTAGTGGTGCTCTCATTGCCTAATATACCGAACTCATTGCGGCCCCAACTGTATACCTGTCCATCAATGGTGATCGCAAAGGAGGTCTCATAGCCAGCGAATACAAATCTGATTTTATTCTTAATGCCATATTTTGATCCCACTTTTATTGGTGTAGAGATATGATCAGTGAATTTGCCGACACCTATCTGACCTGAGCTGTTGTCACCCCATCCGTACACCTTTCCACTTGATGTGAGGGCCAGGGCGTGGTTTTTGCCACAACTTATTTGTACGATCTCTTCGTGTTCACCAAAATCTATTTCCAAGGGCTTAAGGAAAACTCCATAATTTGTATCACCCCGGCCTAACTGACCCTTATTGTTATGACCCCATCCCAGTAGCCCTCCATCAGCCGTCTGAGCGAACATGAAATCATAGCCGTCATTGAAATCACAAATACATTTAAAAGACAATTCTTCAATAAATTGGGGCTCTTTGACGGCACAGGTATGTCCTAATCCCAGAAAACCACAACTATTGGCACCCAATGCATACGCTTTATCTTCTTTGGTAATGAATATAATATTGATATCAAACTCTTTGTCGTTGTGATCAAAATCAGCAAAAATAATAAACAGTTTTATTTTGCACTTCAATGGTTTGGAAATATATTTGCAAATTTTATAGTCATTTAAAACAACAGAAACTTTTGTATTATCTCTGGACATATTGACGCACAGGTATTAAAATGAAATATATTGTTTTGCATAAATTGGTTAAGCAGTAACCATAACTAAAATTGACCATGATAAGACTTATTAACGTTGGTATTATTAATGCAAATTAATTGCACTTAGCACTTAATTTTATAAAAATATTATATATAGTATTAAGAACACAAAATGCAGTAATTTATAAATTCAATACTTTAAATTTCAATAATCTTTAATAATTATAATCTAAGTTGTTATAATTTAACATACAAATTATCATCATATTAAAGTGTTTTAATTAATATATTTTAATTTATTAGTTATTACAGCAAAATCTGAAGTAAAATAACTCTAAAATATAAACTAAGATATAATAAAAGGATACTTATAATAATAATACTGTATTCTAATTGAAAACTTTGCTCCTTTTATACTTTGATTAGCAATCTAACTATTTATTGAAAACGTATGGTTATGTCACACCACTGAACAATGATGAAATGTTCAATATCATACTATTAATAATGTAGCATCAGGCTATTAGCAACCGAAAGTATATCTTATTCTTAGGGCACTTAATATTAGATTGCATCATTTTATCAAATAAAAAATTTTTGTATTGAATTTATCAGAAATTATATTTNCATCATTTTATCAAATAAAAAATTTTTGTATTGAATTTATCAGAAATTATATTTCTAAATTAGAAGTTATAATTCATACATAATATTTCTAAGTTGACTCATAAAAACAAAATTTTCAAGTATTATAATTTACATTTGTCTTAACACATAAGTCACATCTGTATTCCAAACCCTTTGTATCCAACAAATTCAAGATAAAATACACTTTCACTTAATATTATATATTGTTGTGCCACTTATGTTATATATATTATAGCTATGTTTTACTTAAAAAACTTATGATAATTATAATATAGATTATGCATTTCATGTCAATTAGTTATCAATTATATAACATCTTATGATCACTACATCTATGACCGGATCAACTGTAAAGTTGCTATGAGACAGAGGCATATAAATCATCAATTGATTTGTTTAATTCATACAGATTTACTGTTATATGTATTTAGAAACTTACTTATGTATTATTTATATAACTTTGATGAAAATATTATTCTTCAAGATTTATGTATTAATGATCTAATTATACACAAAATAATAATCTACAAAAATAAATGAGCTGCTTAATCACTGAATACAATATCATATAAATGCTATGCTAAAGTTAATTTATGAAATAAATATATTTATGAATTTATGTTTCTAATACTTTGGAGTCAATGGTCACATCAATCCAAACCATAGCAATCAACGGCACAATCATTAGGGCAGCGCTTACTTCATACGTAAGACCGGGAAAGAAGTCTAAACTCCACTCAAATATGAACGTAAAGACCAGGGATGCCAGTAATGGGGACACGGATTCAACACAATTAGTATACAATTGTATTAAAATTTATAATTGTTTTGATATAATCTCAAAGTAATTTCTATTTTAAGTCAATGCTTAGTACAATCATAAAATAGACAATAAATGTTTGGTTCATGTTAAATTATTATTAATAAAGTAAATTCAAGGCTTCTCACAAACATAAATTAATTCATTTTAATTAAGTGTTCAATTGATATCATTAATGTCTAACTTATGTCTAAAACATTCAAAATAACATAGAAACGTAATCAAAAAAGTTAAACATTGAGTAATTAATTAAAAAATAACTTGAATAGTTTTTGATTGTACAGTATTTTAATAAAAGTAGTGTACTGTTATTTAAATAAACTTGTTATCAAACTTTTATTATATAATAGTTTAAATAAAATTTATGAATTAACAACTTTACATTCCCAATAAATAATGCTAAACTTGTTTATTAAATAAATATATAATGAATTTATGTAACTAATAACTTGGAGTCAATGGTCACATCAATCCAAACCATAGCAATCAACGGCACAATCATTAGGGCAGCGCTTACTTCATACGTAAGACCGGGAAAGAAGTCTAAACTCCACTCAAATATGAACGTAAAGACCAGGGATGCCAGTAATGGGGACACGGATTCCAGTGTTGATAACAAACTGAATACTTTTCCCAATTCCTCTTTTTTGACGAGTTTTGACATTTTAGACCTAATGGCCACCGAAACCATACCCGAAACCGAACCTAAATAATCAATTTAATTATTTGTTTATTAACTAATTTCCATTATAATTCAATTGTCTGCTTAATTATGTTTATGCAAAATATTGCAAAACAATAATCACATGAATTTATTTTTTATTTAAATCTACAACTACAGCTAAATGTTATTATAAAATCCTTTTATATTTGTGATGATAAACGCTCAATTTAAGTAAAAACCTGCATTTAGTTAAATTATATAAAATTTCTGAAAAATGGTTAATTGGTGCGAAATTTGGACATTTATTAAAAGCCTTAGAGTAGAGCCCTATCTATTCATTCATATGTTTGCCGGTTCTGTGGCTACAGTGACCACTGGTTTACTACTACAGGACAAGATATGTGTCAATATTTACGAGCAATCCAATGATTTTTGTATGCATTTTGATTCAATCAAACCATCGGAGGATCCAAACAAATATAAAGATAAAGTGTTAGCCCTCTCCACTCAATTTGGTCTTTACGGGTAATCATCTAAATGATATAAATTGATATAAATTAATAAATAAATTTTTTAAATGTTATATAAATACAAATATATAGTACCCTGTTGGGAACAATTCCATCAGTGATATGGTCCCTATTTATCGGTGCATTTACTGACAAATTCCTAAACGGACGCAAAATTGTCATGTTTTTGTCCAGTATATCGGCAATTTCAACATCACTTATCCATATATTAAATGCATACTATTTTCATGCAAGTAATGCAATTCATTTTCATTAAATATGATATAAGTTTAGTAATGTATTGTTGCTAATTATATCAAACAAACTAAAATAAATATTTGTTTTTTGTTTATCTATTCTAAAAGTTTAAAGTTTAGGAACAATTATTATTTAAGAAACATCCTGATCATTATTTAAAAATTGACTATTTATTACAATTTTATGTCAGGTCCTTATTATCTACTGTTGACTTCAGTACCGGCTCTGTTCACTGGCGGTGGCTTTGGCTCAATAATGGCAGTCTATGTAAGACATCAATTGGTTTACTAAATAAATATCACTTTAATCTATACTTCAGTCTTACGCTTCAGTTCATACCAATGAAAAGTTCCGTTCAATACGTTTTGCAATCATTGAATTCAGCTTTTTCTTAGGTATTCATCAGAAATATTGAAAAATAGGCATTTTATATATTTATATGATGTAATCAATTGTGTAGGAATTCCTTTGGGGACATTCGTTGGTGGACAGGTATTACAGAATACACCGAACAGTAGTGGCGGACAATTACACAATTATATTACAATTATTTCTATGAGTCTTTCGCTTCAATTCATTGCATTAATACTGTTATTAGTGTTGATTAATGAAAAGCCAGACCAACTAAACAGTGATGAAGACAGAGAAACACTGGTAGACAACGAGGAACTCGACACCAATTCCAACAAGAATACCGCTCCAGAAGTAGTCATACAACCAGAGCCATCTCCATCAGGGGTCTCTCCTAAATGGTAAGCAAGATATAGTAGTATCTAGGCATTTATAAGACACTTCTATAACTTATTAAGGTTTAATTGCACAATGTAATTTGTATTATATCTGAAAAGGTATTATCCGTTCAAACTGTTGTTTGATATCCAGAATGTTAAGGATGTCTGGAAGTGTTGTTTCCAAAAGCGACCCAATTCTGAACGAATCCAGATATGGCTGATGTTTATGACAATGAGTGTAATGATTATGTCATTCATGGGCGCCGGTAAGACACAGTTCCAGTTCTCCGAGAAAGTATACCTGTGGTCCGCCACCTACTACTCCAACGTACACTCCATCAGCTCTATAGTGAACAGTGTCTTAATGACAATATCAGTGCCACTGTTTGTGGTTAAACTGAGATTAATAGACACACAAATTGTTATTCTGGGTCTCGTGTCGTTTATTATGAGCCAAATAGTGGTCGGCTCTTATCAACACCCGATTGGTTACTATATCCATGTTGTCATTGGTTTGTTGCCATAACTTTA